ATTTCCCTGATGATCAGCGATGATGAGCATCTTTTCATGTGCCTATTGGCCATCAGTATATCTTCTTTGGAGAAATGTCTGTTCATGTCTCCAGCCCATTTTTTGACTGGGTTGTTTGATGTTTTGTGGTTGAGTTGCGAGAGTTCTTTATATATTAAGGATATTAAGCCTTTGTCAGATATATGACTTGCAAATATTTTTTCCCAGTTAGTGGGTTGTTTTTTTGTTTCAATCCTGTTTTCATTTGCCTTGAAGAAGCTCTTTAATCTGATGAAGTCCCATTTGTTTATTCTTTCTATTGTTTCCCTTCTCTGAGAAGACATGGTGTCCGAAAAGATCCTTTTAATACTGATGTCAAAGAGTGTACTGCCTACGTTTTCTTCCAGAAGCCTTATGGTTTCAGGACTCACCTTTAGGTCTTTAATCCATTTTGAGTTTATTTTGGTGAATGGTGAAAAAGAATGGTCAATTTTCATTCTTTTACATGTGGCTTTCCAGTTTTCCCAGCACCATTTGTGAAAAGACTTTCTTTTCTCCACTGTATGCCCTCAGCTCCTTTGTCAAAGATAAGCTGACCATAGACGTGTGGTTTTATTTCTGGGCTTTCAATTCTGTTCCATTGATCTGTGCACCTGTTTTTGTACCAGTACCATGCTGTTTTGATTACTGTAGCTTTGTAGTATGTTTTGAAGTCAGGGATTGTGATGCCTCCCGTTTTGTCCTTTTTTCTCAGGATTGCTTTAGAAATTCGGGGTCTTTTGTTGCCCCACATGAATTTTAGGATTCTTTGTTCTAATTCTGTAAAGAATGTCATTGGGATTCTGATTGGGATGGCGTTGAATCTGTAGATTGCTTTAGGTAGAATGGACATTTTAACTATGTTTATTCTTCCAATTCATGTACATGGAATGTCTTTCCATCTCCTTATGTCGTCATCCAATTCTCTCAGAAAGGCCTTGTAATTTTCATTATATAGGTCCTTCACTTCCTTAGTTAAGTTTACCCCAAGGTATTTTATTCTTTTTGTTGCGATTGTGAATGGTATTGTATTCTTGAGTTCTTTTTCTGTTGGCTCATTACTGGAGTATAGAAATGCTACTGATTTATGCAAATTGATTTTATACCCTGGCAGCGGGTTGTTTTACAAATTATTTTCTTTTCTTAAACTATGTAAGGCCTATCTTTGGGCCCCCTGTAGAATGTACACAATTTGCAGAGCAGATAATAAGTTTAGTTTTGTCAGAGCTCAACAAAACAAGTTGGTGACACAAGTTAACTTGTGAGGCACTATCAGCTGGAGATACTGTTTAGCCTGGCACAGATCGGTATTTAAGACACTTGGATGGCTCTTTCTGTGCCAAGTATTCCATAAAATTTTGCCCTTTGTATCTCGCCCCATTTTTAATTTTCCTTCTTAATCTAGTCTCTGTGGTCCTAACCCAAATTGATTGCTGCTTGCTGTCTCTACTTAGTGGTCTGACCTTTGATCAGGTACATTCAAACCTAGCTTTGAACATCCTTAAGAGAAAAGTTCAGCCACTCTGATAAATTATTTGAAATTTATTTGATTTTGATATAGTCTGCCTCAAAATCCAACCCAAACTCCAAAAATTGACTTACAAGTTGAATGCGGACTACAAATACTTTTTTTCTGCCAGAAGGTTTTAAATTAGAATTCGTTGACAGCATTTAAAAACTGGGAGATTTTATGTGAAAATCCAGAGTCCTGGCTTTTCCTAAAAAATATGAAAGATTTGCTAACAGTGGCCACATATGCCTTCATAGTAACAATCAGCTAGAGCTAGATAGCAGCAATGTCCTCTTTCCAGTCCCCTTGCTCCTCCATTCCCAACCCACTGTCTCCCCAACAATGAGCCAAGTGTCAGTTTTCATTTATCATCTTATGTCCAGTGCATTTGACTTACTTTCATTACCAGCTTGGCACTTGTAGGCATTTGAGTTTGTGACCCCTGATAAGAAAGCAAATAATATGAGGGCAGAGATCTCGTTTATCTTGTATACCTCTGTATTCCTAGGGTCTAGCTCAAAAAGTATTTGATGAATGAGTAAATTTTTATCCAGAAGAATACATCTACTAAACTTAAAATCAAATTGGAAGGAAAAGCAGATGAGTACATATAGAATTGTTACAGGTCAAATGAAAAAGATACAATTTTGTTAACATGAGTTGGCTTTGGGCTCAAAGTTAGGACTATGAAACCTCAAATAATGGGTCCAATAGAGATAAAGCTAACCGTTTCAAATGAAAAACAATTAACAAATTCATTTATAAATGTATATACCATATTTGCTATGACACTCACTAAACTTATTAGTAAGGTGGTTATATTTAGATACGTTAACTTATATACTTAGATATGAAATTCTAGAAGAAATAAACTTTATTTTTCCTCTTTTAAACACTTTTTACAAAATACCCAAGAAATGCATACTCACTGCAGAAAAATTATAAAATACAGAGAAACTAAAAACAAAATCACCAGTCATCCTACTACTCAGAGGTAACTGGATAATATTTTGGTAAATCTTTTTTAATGAATAGATACACATATGTGTGGTTTAGATTTATGTATATACATACATAATTACACTTTAAAAAAACAGCTAATTTCTGATTTCAGAAAAATTGATTCAATTCAGCCAGTATTTACAGAGTACTATATACAAGACACTATACCAGTCACTTAATTCCAAGATGCTAAATCAATCTTTTTTAAAAGTCATGAAAGAATTGAAGTGTTTAAAAGAGCGGATGTTAAATAAACTAGTCTATGATAGTAGTCGAGATTATTATGAGAGGAAATCTGGCAGAATGGACAGACAGGCCTCAAATTTGGGCTTCAGCCTTAAGCAACAGTGCGACCTTGGATAAATTACTGAAAGGCTCTTAAGTGCCAGGTTGCCACATTTATGATACTAAAATAATAACAATAATATTTAGCTTACAGAGTCCTTATGAGAATTAAATGAAATTATGCATAAATGTCCAGCACATGATATCTCAATACATAATAGCTATGTTTATTATCATTGTTATGATATTGATCAAATTATGTTGCTAATATACCATCTTAGAAACTGAAGTGGTTAGATTAATCAGTCAGAAATGAAGTTTAAGAATTCAATGGATACAGCTCAAGAGCAAAAAAGCAAATAATTCAATTAAAAAATGGGCAAAGGACCTGAATAGACATTTTTTCACAGAAGACATACAAATGGCTAGCAGATATAGGAAAAGGTGTCCAACACCACTAATCATCAGGGAAATGCAAATCAAAACTACAATGAGAGATCACCTCACTCCTGTTAGGATGGCAAAAAGACAAGACATAATAAGTGTTAGCAAGGATGTGGTTAAAAGGGAAGCTTGGTACACTGTGGATGGGAATGTAAATTGGAGTAGCCACTACGGAAAACAGTTATGGAGGTTCCTCAAAAATTAAAAATAGAACTACCATATGATCCAGTAATCCCACTTCTGGGTATATCCAAAGGAAAAGAGATCAGTACCCCCAAAAGATGCTTGCACTCCCATGTTCATTGCAGCATTATTCACAATAGCCAAGATATGGAAACAAGCTAACTGTCCACTGACAGATGAAGGGATAAAGGAGATGTGGTATATAATGGAATATTATATATATATTTTATAATTTCAGCCATGACAAGAAGGAAATCCTGCTTTGCGACAACATGAATAAGCCAGACAAAGGCAAATACCGTTATGATCTCACTTGTATGTGGAAGCCTCCCAAAAATTCAAATGCATAGAAACAGAGGGTAGAATGGTGCTTACCAGGGGTTAGGGGGTGGGGGAAATGGGGAGATGCTTGTCAAAGGATATAAGCCTTCAGCTATAAGATGACTAAGTTTTGGGGATCTAATGTACAGCATGGTGACTATAGTTAATAATACTGTAGCGTACACTTGAAATTTGCTGAGAGTAGATCTTAAGTATTCTCACTACAAAAAAAAAGGGTAACTATGTGAGGTGGTGGATCTATTAATTAACCTGATTGCAGTAATCATTTCACAATGTATATGTATATAAAATCATCATTTTGTATACTTTAAATATATACAATTTTATTCATCAATTACACCTAAATAAAGCTGGGGGGAAAAAAGAATTCAACTGACTTAAGATTTTGAGGAAGTGAGTGAAGTTTTCTACCTCCAAATTATCTATTTCACAAAACTGGGGCACTTTAAAAAAGTAGAATATAAAATCTGCTTAGATGGGACTTTTATACTAGCACATTTATAAAGTAGGAGATGAAGAAAGAAATAGGTAAGAATATCTGAATAACTTAGTAAAAGTTCGTTGTTTGAAGAACTTGCCTTTTGCCAAGCAAAAATAACCCATACAATTTTAGGAAATATTTTTAATTGTTGGACGTATCTCAGAAGACAATCACTTTATATACTTACAGAGTATTATTTATTATATTGTAGTAGTTACTCTTACCCTTATCTCAAGGGTAAGGGGTATTTCTTAGATATTTTTGTACTTCCATCCAATATATTGTATAGCTCACATTCAATAACAATTGATTAAAGAACTTAATGAGAAAACCAAAACTCCTATAGCTTTAATTCTGAGAGGAATTAAAGGGGAACTAACCCGGGTCTTTGCATGGTTATCAAAATAGTAGCACTTGAATTACTTAGAGAGGTTTTTCATAATGGCTCCAGGTCCTGACTCATCAAGATTAAGAAGTCTGGGTTAAGGAAACAGAGGCAAAGTTTAAATGTGAGTGTGTTTGGTAATATTTCTGTCCCCATGTCTCAATGAATTCAGAAGCGTACAGAAAGCGTTTTTAAATTATTAATTTTTAATATCTCCTCAAGCCCTCTAATAGAACAGATAAAGAGAAAACTCTGAAAAGAGTAGAATGAGATGGGCACTACTAACAAAAAGATTTCTCAAATTCCCCCAGAAAGATAAAAAATTAGAGGGCAAAGAGAGTTTAACCTACCTCTCTCTTTGCAAAGGACAAAAAGGAATTCAGCAGCAATTTGCTTGACTCCAAGGTCAACATGTGTCATGAGGCGCACCAGCTTATTTCGCACAGTTGAGCCAACTTCAGGTCGATTTGTCACATCCCTCAATGGTGGTAAAACCTAATGGCACAAATGCAGAAACCATCATCAGTCATAAGTACTAGAGAAAGCAAGAGTGGTACCACACAACTGGTCAGTCTTGAATGTCAACTGAGCTCAGTTTTATGAGTGGAAAAAACATTTAAAAAAATAAATAGGTTTGCTTCCAAATAAAATAAAACTAACAACAACAAAAAACAAACCTCAAATAATTTCATGACTGTAATGAAATTTCATTTGAAGAGAAACATCTCTTCACTATACCACCATGATATATTCAAATCCATTTCTGAGTTTTCCCTCATCTCAGCACCCGGAATGCCTCTGCTTGCCTCTAGCAAAATTCATTTTAAAGTCTGGGTGAAGTTTCTCTTTCTTCCATGGAGACTTCCTTAATACCCTGACTCATATTGATTTTCTCCCTCTTTTAATTCCTGCAGCACTTTCAGTATTTACTAAAAAAATCTGTACTTATGTTGTCTAGTTGTTTTATTTTACAATAAAAAAATTGCTATTAATTATTGAGTACTTCCTATGCGCTAGTTGCTGTATACATACATTCTCTAGAATCAGTCCTCACAGTGACCTTGCAAAGGAGGTAGTAACATCACCATCATCCCTATTTTATACATTGATCCTCAGAGGGCTTGGTTCTTCTGTTTGTTTGCTCACTTACTCACCCATCTATCGACCTAGACCCCTTCTCGTCTGGTTCTCCTCCTACCTCATGGGTTGCTTCATCTCAGCCTCTTTTGCCAATTCTCTTTTCTCTTCTTGTTTTCTAAGTGTTGGAATATTCAAAGGTTGAGCTCTTGCGCAACATTTCTTTACTATTTTCACTCATTCTATTGGTGATCTCATCCAGTTTTATGGCTTTATACGTTCTCTATCTACTGATAATGCCCTGAATTATATCTCCACCTTGATTTCTTCCCTGAGCTCAAGACTTTCATAGGCCTCTCAAATTTAGCATGTCCTAAATGGAACTCTTGATGCTCCCACCAAAGTTGTTCCTTCTGCAGTTTTCCATCTCACTAAATGGAAAGTCCATTTTTCCAACTGTTCAGTACAATAACCTTGGAAATATCTTTGACTCCTCTCTTTCATACCCCACATCCAATCCATCAGCAAATTACTTTGGCTCTACTTTTGAAATATATTCATAATCTAACGACTTCTCACTACCTCCTCTAGTATTACCAAAACCAAACTACAATATTTATCGCCTGGATTATTACCACAGCCTCCCAAGTGCTCCCTGATTCCATACTGGTCCTTCTATGATTTATTCTCTACATAGAAGCTAGGATAATCTTTTGACAGTCAGATGATGTCATTCCTGTTCTCAAAGTCCTCCAGTTCCCATGGCTTCTCAGCTTACTGACAGTAAAAGATGAAGTTCTTACAATTCCCTTAGGTTTCACATAATCCAGCTTCCTTCTACTTTTCTGACTTCATTTCTACTACACTCCTTGCTTACATCGCTACAGCCACACAGATCTCCATGGAGCTCCTTAAACATACCAAACACTTTCCTGCCTCACAGTCTTTGCATTTACTGTTCCTTCTGCCCAGAAACTTTTTCTAGAAACTGGCATGGCTCATTCCCTTACTTCCTTCAGGATTCTGTTCAAATGTCATTTATAGCAGGACATTTCCTGACCACTCTATATAACTAGCCTTTAGCATTCTCTTTCTTATCCCTCTTCCAACTCTGCTTTAATTTTCCTCAAAGCTCTTATCACCACCTGACACAGTATATATTGATTTCTTTACTGTCTTTCTTCTTCCACAAGAGTCAGTTCCATGGGTGCAGGGATTTCTTTCTGTTTTGTTCATTGCTCTCACTGCCTGTCATAGTACAGGTGTTCAATAAACATTTGCTGATTAAAGAAGAATGAATTAATTCAAGTCACTTTTTAAAAGTGCTTTCTATAAGCTAGGCACTATGCTAGGAAATGAGGATAGACACAAAGTCAAATAATAATTTACAGTGCCAGGCCCTTTACATGTATACTATTTTATTGAATCCATTCAACTGACTTTCTTTCTTGCCTCTCTTTCTAGACTGAGTGCCTACCATGTATCAGGAGGTCCTGGAGGCACTGGAGACATACTGTGAACAAAAGTGGAAACTAAATCTCAGAAAACTGAGGAGTCTAGCCGAGTGTTTACAGAATCCATATTTCAACACCTCTGGTGGGGAGAGTACAATGCTCTTTGTGCTCTATAGGCAAAGACTCATTATATGATAAATTCTGATTATTTGATTCAGCCAACCAGACTGAGTTTATCTCCTATTTTTAGAAGAATGAGGCATGTAACAAGTGACTTCATGTAGTATGTGCCTAAGTTCCAGAGTCAAGAATCTATTAACCAAGGGTATCACACAAAAACTTTGTTAACTATGTTTGGGATTCCTTAAAACAAGTTTTTTAAAGTGAAATTTTGTTGTTTTTATTGATATATATCACTCCCCGACAAACTGCATATGTACAGACCCTTTCTATTTCCCCCTAAATACTACCTTCCAACTAATTTTTTCTTTTCTTTGACAAATCTTGTCCAGTTCCTCTTTCAGACCCACAGAATCCTCATCTCTTCTATAAGCCTCTCCAGACTAATCCAACCTGGGTCAGTAATTTCTACCATCTGTTCTCTTTCTACCTGCCCAAATATAGAATAGTCAAAACCAATTTTCTTTGGCATGCATGAATTGGATTTAATCAGGTATCAACTATAGCACATAATTAATTAGCCATGATTCCCTTTACATTATTATCAAAGCTAATCATTTGTTACTTTAAGTCCTGCTTTTCTTTTTTTTTTTTTGAGGAAGATTAGCCCTGAGCTAACATCTGCTGCCAATCCTCCTCTTTTTGCTGAGGAAGACTGGCCCTGAGCTAAGATCTGTGCCCATCTTTGTCTACTTTATATGTGGGACACCTGCCACAGCATGGCTTGATAAGTGGTGCATAGGTCTGCACCCAAGATCTGAACTGGTGAACCCTGGGCCGCCAAAGTGGAATGTGCAAACTTAACCGCTGCACCACTGGGCTGGCCCCATAAGCTCTGCTTTTCTTGATCATCATGGTCTACAGCGCATCCTTCTCAGAAGGAAAGTTGATTTTTGAATTGTGTCTTGTATCTTTAGTTATCTTTTACTTGTTACGTCTCATCTCTTTATCTATACTATAGTGTTTCTTTGAGGATAAGGAGTGGGTCTCATAATCTTTTGAATATACATAATGAGTAGCCCAACGTCTTCATATAAAGAAGCTGTTTAACAAGTAAGTTTTTTTGGCTCTCCAGGTTAGAGATAGCAAAATCTAAACAGTTTAGTCGAAACTGGATCTTCTATGTGAAAAAGCTAAAATACAGAAACAAAGTATTTTCATTTATTATTCTTCACCAAGTCTTCCTAGTCATGGTAGAATGTCTTAAAATAATCAAACTTGGAAATGACATTAATTCATTAATTAACTAGTTTATTTTGCTTAAATGATTGCTTATGCTTTCATGGTGCCTCTCTCTTCTTCCAATAGACTGTAAACTCCTCAAAGATAGAGTCCCTACTTTCTAATGTCCCCTTATCAGCATTATCTATTAATGTGCTCTACACATAGTGAAGTGCTTACTAAAGCTTGACCACAGAGGGGAAAAAAGAACCTGGTTCATTTATTAGAGGAAATTCTATATGGCAGTAAATAAACAACAGGGTCAATGGTAGTACCGTGTATTGAAATGTGGAAAGAAGAGGAAGAAAGAGGGTGGGGGATGGGAAATCAAGAGATTAGTTTGAGATATGTTAAACTTAAGATACCTACTACATCCCAGGAGAAGAGATGAGTATGCAGTTTGTTATGTGTCTGAAGCTTAGGGGACAGATCAGGGCTGGAGATAGAAATTTGGGAGTCATGTGCCTACAGATGATTTTCCAAACCATGACCGCTGAATGAGATCACCAAGGGAGTGGAAATGGAGACAAAGACAATATTGCCTTGGGGCACTGCAAAGAAGAGGTTCCCTATTGTGTCCTAGAAACCAAGTAAAGAAAATATTTCAAAAAGGAGGGAGTACTCAATTACATCAAAATGCTATTGGAGAATTAAAAAGAAAGATTTGAGAACTATTAGATTGGGCAATATTGGGTTGATGACTTTTGATAAACACCTTTGCAATGGGGTAGAAAGCATGAAAGCCTCATTTCAGTGGGTTCAGGAGAGAATCAAAGATGAGTAAAAAGAACAGAGAGGGTGAGTATAGGAAATTCTTCTGAGGAACAGTGCATAAAGAAGAGCAGAGAAATGGGGAGGCAGATTAAGAAGTGGGATTAAGGGAAGGTTTTTTTGTTTTTAAGATGGAAGATGTGTTTGGGTGTGGACAGAAATGATCCAATACGTTAAAAAAAAAAAAGATTAACCTAAGAAGAAAGAGAGGAAACAAATGCAGGAGCAAAGTTCTTGGTGAGAGGGAAAGGGATCCAGGATACGAGTGCAGAGGCTGGCCACAGAAGGAAGCAGGGACAATTCATCCATTGTGATAGAAAGGAGACAAAGGATATGGCGGTACGGATGCAGACAGACACTAGATGCAGTGGTGGAAAAATGATTTCTTACCATGAATTCTGTTACCATCCTGCTCCAAACTTCATCACCAGCTCTCTTTTGGGCTGGTCTCCTCACGTCTCCTCACACTCCTCTAGTCTATCCTACAAACAGCAGCCAGAGTATCTTTAAATATAGATGAGGTCCCATCTCTTCTCTTCTCAAAACTGTCCAATGCTTTCCAATCTCGTTTAGAAGAGAATCAAAAGTCCGACACAACCTTCTGTTATTTGGTTCTAGCTTACATCTTTTACTCCATCCACCTCTCTGCCCCCTTGTGTATTGTTGTCTAGCCTTCTTGTTTTTCCTTAAGCATACCAAAGCATCCTCTCATCTCAGGGACTTTGAACTTATTCTCTCTGGTATTTTCCTGTTCCAGAATATTCTCAGAGAATATCCTCTTCCAGACATTCTCAGAGATCCTTTTTGTATTTATCCAAGTTTCTGCTCAAATGTCATTTCCTCAGAGAGGCCTTCCCGTATCACCCTAAGTCTCCTCTTCTCCTTCTCCTGTATCTTTCTTCAGAACACTTACCACCACTTGCCATTACATCATATATTTGTTTACTTTTTGTCCCCCAACTATAAGGTAAACTCCACAAGGCAAAGACTTCATCTGCCTTTCAAAGCTTAGAACAATGCTTACAACACAGAACATCGTAGATCTCAATAAGCATTTGCTGAATTAATGAATGAATAACAAAAAAGTATACAGGATCCACTTATTTCTGGACTAGGAAGATTTCAAAGATTAAAACTAACTTTTCTGAGTTTCTGAATTTCTTACAGAAAACCCTATGAAAGAATTCAACTCATTAATTCTATGTTAAAAAAACACATAAGAAGATTAACTTTAAGATGTAATAGACATTAAGCAGTTACCTGATCTTTGAGAAATTTTCTGATGTTTCGATGGGCTCGAGAACATTCTGTTAATAAGCTGAGAACTGGAGTTAGACCTTCTCTATAGCTGCTTCCCTATAAAGAAAATCATACATGCTACATTAGTTTAATTTCTAACAGTATTACTTTGTTCCATATAACTGAGCATAACTCCTTTTTTTAAGGGGGAGACAATATTTTGTTACCAAAACTTTACAAACTATTTTAAAAATTATTTCCCCAACAATATTTCCATTTCATCAGCGAACTTTTCATGTTTACTAATGCCCATTTTTATCCTTCCTGGATTTTCCTAGATTTTGTAGGGTCCTCACTGGCTCAGCCAATGGGCTTAACTGAGGCAAAGGTTTTGATGACCCACCCATACTACCTTGCTGCCTTTTAATATAGTTATCTGACAAAGGAAGTGACAGATGAGAGAAGATAAGCATCTCACGACAAATGGAGAGTTGATGATTTTTTTTTTAAAAAGATGTCTTTTAGGCATTATAGAATGTATTTATCATCAAGCTTTTTTAGGGGCATAATTTTTACTCCTAGGACTTAGAAAATACCTACGTGGAAAACTAATTAATTTTTCCTTGGCACCAGTCAGAATTTTGGTGTTGCATCAACACAATTTTCAGCTTTAAAAAATAAACTCACTTGGTTTCAGTAATTTATCATATATTGTAATAAAATGCATTCCAGAGAACAATTATGTAAGATGTCAGCTATAAAAAAAGTTTAGATTTAAAAATTATGTCCTGTGATGTCTGCATGTATGGCACATTTACGTTCTTTAGAAGCATTTTCCCAAGACCTCCATTTTATCAGCCTTACCTTGTCTATTCTCTTCTCCATAAAATTGAGTAAAACATGAATGGCCTCCATATTCATACCATTGTATACCATGGTATTGTTTTTCAAAACTGTTTCTTTCTCAGCTGTTTTATCACTGGGCAGTTCATCTAAAGTCGTTGCCTCTTGGGCTGTTTCTTCATGGGTTAATGGACAAATGAGAACATCCAAACAAGAGACTGGAACATTGCTTAAAAGGTTGACTGCATTGCTGAAAAGCAATTTAAAAATACAATATTTTAATTTGACTGAATAGTCCTTTAAAATGTGAACATAATTGTAAGTTGAGAAGTGACTTTTAGGAGTCAATTAAAATTTTTCTTTTTCAAAATGAGCCTTTAATATTACTTAGCATTTATTGACTAAGAAACAGAAAATAAAGAGAACTGTTTCAAATACATATATGATAAATTAGAAAGAACAGATGTTAAATGGACACACAATCACATGATGTCATGTCACTCTCTGAAATGCTAAAATAGGAATTAGTAAGCTTTAACATGAGCTCTTTAATTTTATTATGACACAATGCTAGCTTTGCATTTTTTCCTTGGGGTTTTAAATCCTTTTGTGAAGCCACTGGTGTTTTATTATTCCTTAGATTACAACATAAAGCATTTGAGAAGCTGTATATAAGCAGCTTATCACAGAGGCAACAATATTAAAAACCAAATATTGTAGGATTAAGTTTTGTTCTTTTTAGATGTAGAAAATACAATTTTTAGATCATCCCATTTTTTTGTAAGACATTTGTAGAAAATGGGTAATGTGCTTTTTCTCCCTCTCTCATCATCAAGTATTTTTAAAAGAGGCCAACGTAGCAATTTCGAATCTCTATTCCCAAGGCCTTCTTGCTATGTATTAATGAATACACGAGCCGGGGATGCACACCAGCAGGGGGAACCCAAACCTTGTATTTCTGGTATTCTCTAAAAATCTGGTTCTGTTGCTCAGTGTATAAGAGATTAAAATGACACTAATCATTTAAAAATTAGACATGTTCTCAATTAATATATTTTCCTTCATGCATTATTTCATATTATTTCACCTAAAAGGAGAGGGGGTATTCTCTGCTAACTGGATCTTACAAGCCTGTGCCTCAGAACTTCCTGATAAACAACAATGGAAAGACAGGCATTACATTTCCTAGTGACAGAGAAGCAGATCTAAAAATAACCACATCCTGACTAAAAATAAACTCGTCCAAATGCAATTTAAAGGTCTAACCACTTGGGAACCAAGTTCAGGGCTTAATCTATCTGATGCTATCTTAATTTAGACCATAGTAGTTCATTTTATTTTAGATTATAATGACACCCTAAAAAATAAAACAAAATAAACAACAACAAAACAGAAATAAAATACAAAATTTTTTCTTCCCTTTACCGTGAAGTATGGTTCCATTTCCCCAAGAATGAACATTTCCTTTCTTTCTTTTTATATTATGGGGAAAAAAATTCATAAGAAATCACAGTTTAAAAATGAGACAGTGCAGAACGAGTGGTACTGTAAAGGGTATCAAAAAATCTGAACCAAGAACAAAAGTAATTTAACAAGTCCTATAAATGAATGGTTCCTCGTAAAATACAAGCTATCTGGTTGTCTCCCCTAAAAATCTACTACTGCTACTGCTGCTGCTGTAACTACTATTACTGTTAAACAAGCTTCCTAATTTTGGTTATTTGTAAATAGTCACAATTGGTCCAAATATAATGCTTTTCCCACAAACTTTCGTTTTAAAATTTTTGCAAACATCTGTAGTTCCTTATCCAGAGTTAAAAATGTTCTGCTTCTGACTTAAGCATTTGGAAACTGTTATCAAATATCATAGATTCACTGGGGTTAAAAGAAAAAAAAAAACTAAAGAATTCTACCTTAGAATTACTTTCTAAAACTGTATAAGCCATTGTGAAACGTTAGGACTTTTTTTCAACACACAGGGCAATAGGCTCTGGAGTCCATTGATAGTCTGATTCTCAGAATCTACCAGAGAGACCACACTGAAAAGTTTAAGACAATGCATTTCATTACAAAGGAATGTTTCCCTTTAAATTCATTTAAAATAAGCAGTTTCAAGGAATTCAGTAAATTTAAGAAACCAAATGTAGAGTTTGATTCAACAAATATTTGGAGGTTTTAGGCTTTTCAGGAAAAGTTCCCATTTTCTCGTTTCTTATTAAACAACTGGGTTCCCAAACAACTACAAAATTAATTTTCTGGCTCACTGTGTTTGAGCTATTCTTTTTAAGTAAGGAAGGCCAGCTTTTTGAGCTCTGTCACTTCTCTGACAGTTTTATTTGTGGTAGAAGAGTGTATGAAATTCTCCAGCTACCAGGAAGTCAGTGACTATGCACAGATCCGCACAATGGTGTTTGCATTCCTACTCCAGGGGGTAGAAATACTGTGTATATTACTCTCCCCTTTTCAGCTTCCTAGAGATCATTAATCACTGGGACATGACATCCTCCTACTCATGCTCCCAGCCCCCTCCTGATATGCAGATTCAAAAACAAGGCCTATTTAGAGCTCCTTAATGCCCTGATTAAAGCCTTGTTGGTTGTGGGAGAGGGAAGGCAATCTAAAACCCACTCCTGTATCAATCACTGGACTAAACATAATTTAATACCAAATGACATTGAGGAGCATGATAATAGTACATGCAGACCTACAACTGTTAACAAATCTTCGAGGTCAAATGTATTTTCTGTATATTTGGGGTTCACATATCTTTTTTCATGGCTGGAAAATCTACTTAAATGAACCTTTACACCTCCAAAAGATTTTCAGATGTAAATACCTAACTTTAACTCAGTTCAGTAATTATTTATTAATTACTTATCCCAGGCATTGTTTTAGGAAGGTATTATGAAGAAAACAGAGACAAATCCCTGCCTTTATAGAGCTTATTTTCCAGCATGGAGAGAACAGTCAATGAAAAGTAAACAAAACAAAAAGTTAATTGAATAGCATGCTAGAAGGTGATAAGGAGTCTGGAGGGAAAACCCAGGAGGGTAAGATAGTACATTTGGCTTGCGATTTTGAATAGGGAGGTTAGGGCAGACCTCACTGAGATGCTGTCATTTAAGCAAAAACTCGAAGGAAGTTAGAGTGAACCATGTGACTATCTGGGGAAAGAGCATTCCAGGAAGAAGAGCAAAGGCCCCAGGGCAGGAGCAGTGGCATGTTTGAAGAAATGCAAAGAGGCTGGTGTGGCTGAACCACCATACACAGGGAGAGGAGTAGGACAGGAGATCATACAGGTATGGGGAGGCCAGAGTAGTCTTGCAGGCTATTACAACTTTAGTTTTGTTCTGAGTGAAATGGGGAGCCATTGCAGAATTTTGCATGGTGATAAATACTCTATCTTAAAAGGGTCACTCTGGCTACTGCAGTGAGAACAGTTGTTAGCACAACAAAGGAGAAGGATGAGTTAGGGTGTTACTATAATAATTCAGGTGAGGTGAACAGGGTGCTAACAGTGAACTGGTTAGATTTTGAAGGACTTCCTTACATGCTAATTGTAGAGTGTGAGAATCCAAGGTTCTAGCCTTAGCAAGTGGAAAGCTGGAGTTGCCATCAACTGAAATGGGAAACACAGCAGGTGAAGTAGCTTTTTAGAGGAAGATAAAGAGTTTAATTTTGGATATGTTAAGTTTGGGACGTCTATTAGATGTTAGTAGGACGTTAGTAAGAGTGTGGAGTTCAGGGAGGGAGATCTGGATTAGAGATATAAACTGAGGAGTCAGCAGCATGTAGGTGGTATTCAAAGACAGAAAACTGAATTAGATCAGTAAGAGAATGAGTGTGAACTGAAAGACTACGAGGGCTGAGCCTGGAGCACTCCATTGTCCAGAGGCTGCGGAGTAGAGGAAGAAATTAGAACTAGTGAGGTGGGAGGAAAATTAAGATAGTATGGTATCTTTGAAGAAAGTATATAAGTAAGAATGGAGTGATCGCTTTGTCAAATGAAGTGGACAGATCAAGTAAGATGACAACTGAGGATGTCCACTGGATTTAGCAACACAGAAGTCACTAGTGACCTTAATAATTGCCATTCTGGTGGAGTAGTGAGACTAAAACCTTAGTAGAGAGAATAGGAGAAGAATCAGTCAACACTGAGAGGAGTTTTGCTGCAAAAGGCGAGAGAGATTGGAGCAGAAGCAGGTAGGGAAGTGTCAAGAAAACTCTGGATAAGTTATGGATGGAAAGACCCCTGAATGCTACGCTCAGCAAAGTCTATCTTTTTAATCCACAGTGATCTGGTCATTGTTCTCTAAATGTGCCAGAGACATATTCTCATGTCTGTATTTGTCCATGTTTTTTTTTGCTTAGAACATTCTCATCAAGACTACCTCAAGGGGCCAGCCTGGTGGCACAGCAGTTAAGTGCGCACGTTTCGCTTTGATGGCCCAGGGTTCACCAGTTCGGATCCCCGGTGTGGACATGGCACCGCTTGGCAAGCCATGCTGTGGTAGGCGTCCCACACAGAAAGCAGAGGAAGATGGGCACGGATGTTAGCTCAGGGCCAGCTTCCTCAGCAAAAAGAGGAGGACTGGCAGCAGTTAGCTCAGAGCTAATCTTCCTCAAAAAAAAAAAAAAAAAAAAAAAGACTACCTCAAACCTCACTTCACTCTCAACAGATATTTACTATGCCCTCTGCTAGGCATTAAGTATACAAAAATAAATAAAATATACTCCTCAGGGCTGGCCTGATGGCACAGTGGTTAAGTTTGTGCACTCTACTTTGGTGACCTGGGGTTCGTGGGTTCAGATCCTGGGCCTGGACCTACACACTGCTCATCAAGCCATGCTGTGGTGGTGTCCCACATACAAAACAGCGGAAGATTGGCACAGATGTTAGCATGGGGACAATCTTCCTCAAGCAAAAGGAGGAAGATTGGCTACACATGTTAGCTCAGGGACAATCTTCCTCACCAAAAAAAATAAGTAAATAATAATAATACACACACACACACACACACACACTTCTTTTCCTAAGAGAAGGCAGCATAACATAACTTGTAGAGCAATGGTTTGAATTCTAGATTGTCTCTTAGTAAAAGAGTGCCATGGGCAAATTACAGGACCTCTTCTAGGCCCTGGTGTCCTTATCTCTAAAGTAAAGGGAAATAAATTTATCCCACTAGGTTGATGTGAGGATTAAAAGAAAAAAGGCATGCAAAGTACTCTGCCCAGTACATAGTAAATGGC